TATATATATATAAACAATGTAGGAGAGTTCCCTTTCACTACAGCCTCAACAGTACTTGACACTCTTTGTTTTTTTAATCTTATCCATTCTCACTGGGGTTGGATGATATCTCATTGTGGTATTGATTTGTATCTTCCTTATTATAAGAGATCTTGAGCATGTTTTAATATACTTTTTGGCTATTTATATGTCTTACTTAGAGAGTTGTCTGTTCAGCTTATTTGCCCATCTTTTAATTGGAATTTTTTTTTCTTTTCCTGGTAAGGTGCTTGAGTTCCCTGAGTATTCTAGTTATTATGAAGACACATTTTTAAAACATTCTACATATGAGAATTTTTTTCTTTTTAGGGAGGGATTTTTGCTATAGGGTGTGTGTGTTCATCAGAGAGAGAGAGAGGGACAGAGAGACCGAAAGTGAGAAATCACTCCCCAGGGAGGATAGCCATGCCACAATTCCTTTTCCTCCATTCTGCTCTTGGGATTTTGGGCACACACACACACTTGTCCAGTGTGTTTTAAGCCACTAGGTCTTGAACCATAGTCAACTACATGGAAGTCCAGCGATGTAACTTTTATGCCATCTGCTAGTTCTGTAAAATTTTAATATATGTGTTTTTGTGCTGTGTAACAAATTATCAATGGATAAACACAGTACCATTAACTCTGTCTATTTCAGGAAAGTGGAATTGTACCATGGAAAAAAACATATGTAAGCTTCACTTAGTATTTCTTGAAAGTATTTCAATCGTAAAAAAAGTCACTTGCATAATTGACAATAAAGTTTTATTTAAAAATGTATAGAAAACAAACATTTTAAAAAATGTTTTTCTCCTCACAGGAAAAAACACAGCAGGACTTCTTGTGATACTCTCAATGTGAAGAACAAAATCATCAGGTCAATGGACTTAAAAAAAAGTCATAGGTATCAGTTATTGAAGATGACATATTCCAAACATAATGTTAAACACTGTCTCATCTTTTATTGTCAGCACAACCATATCTTGCAAAATTAATATACAGAGAGTTAAGTATGTGTGTAAATAATAGATACTAAATATATTTTTTTCTTTTTTTGGAGAGGTTTTATGCTTTAGGGTGCGTGCGCTCATCAGAAAGACAGAGAGACAGAAAGCAAGAAATCACCCCCCAGGGAGGGTGGCCACACCAAAATCCCTTCTCTTCCATTCTCCGCTCAGGATCTTGGGCATGCATGCACATGCACTGGGCGTGATTTTAAGCCACTGGGTCCAGGACTCGAACCGTGGTCGACTACATGAGAGTCCAGCAACATAGCCATTACGCTAACTGCTAGTCTCAATAGATTTTAAATATTAAACCAAATTACCATTTTTAGCATTTTTAGCTAAAAAAATTACCACTTTTTAGGATCAGGATCTGTGTTCTTACCCATTATTGTACACTCCCTCCTTTGCTCTTAAAAATTCCACTGTATTTTCCTCTGACATTCTCTTTTTATTTGTACTTCAGAAAAAAACAATAAAAACTTTGAGATATGTTTCTTACTATTTTGTTGAAGATATGAAACTGCTTCATTAAAAGATGTTCAGGGTCAGCCTGTGGCATGATGGCTAAGGTGACTGGATTCCACATTGCCAATAGTGAGGTTTGAGTCCTGAACTCAGTGGCTTAAGCAATACACCAGGCACATATAAGTGCATGCCCGAAATCCCTAAAAAAGGGAGAAATGGAGGAGAAGAGATTGTGGGATGGCCCTTTCCTATGAGAGTACATTCTCACTTTGCTTCTCTGTCTCTCTGTGTCACTCTCCAGTGACTGCACACACTGTCTGACAAACTTTAAAATTAAAATAATAATAATAATAAAGAAAAGTAAAAAAGAACACTGATAATATTACTAGCAGCATATAATTTGTAAAATGTGTATATATTAAGACACATTTTTCATTTTTTCCTTCTTGTTTTAAATATGAATTTTGCTTTATTTACAAAAGAGAACACTGATACCAAGAAATTTATTATTCTGACAGTTTTCTTATGTGATTGCTCTTTTGTTCTCTTTTGTTTTGTAAATCTTTTACTTCACTTGAATTTCTATTGTAAACAGGATTATCTGTAAATATAGATATATCCACAGGGTATTTAAACTGTATCAATCCTTGATTTAGAAAAACTTTTGAGTAATCATAATCTAGAAATATTGATGTTTATTCCTTGCATATAGTCATTACTAGACACTTGTAACAATTGCAATACTCTAAACATTTGCAAAATAAAGATGGAGTAGAAAATGGAATGGCTTCATATATCTTTTTTACTTTTATCACCAATAACAGATATTATTCTTGTAATAGAAATGAAAGTGCTTCCTTACTACAAATCTCTAATAGTCAATTTTACTCTGGATTTTGTCAGCAGGATATAACATATTTGTAAAGTTATTGTGAGTTCGTAAATATTTGTTATGAGTAAACCTTTCTATGTCATAGGGTTTCTCAGCAGGAGCAGCTGCTAAAAGCTTCCTACTACAAGAATATGTGGATATGGAAGGGTCTGAATTGATATGCTGAATAGCACTGAATTAAGAAGCCATTGAATTTTGAATTTTGTCACCTGAAGTCTTTTTATCATGCAGAAAAATTCAAATCATTTCCTTTTCTGGTATATATTTTGCATTGATTTTTTTTTTTTATTCTTTTGGGTACTACTGACTTCCAATTTTGTTTTCCAACTTTAATGTTTGGTAATGTTTGCTTACATTTCAGACAAGGTTTATGTTGAGTTTAAATGTTATGGATTTGTTAAAAAAATTGAAGAATAAGACAGGCATGATCAAAAACAAAATGTTAAAAAAAATCTACCCTATGACTCTTGAAGTGGTAATTTTTGAATATAATAAAAAATAGTTATTAAGCATTAGTGATTTGCATGGTTAAAAAAATCATTAAAGCTTTTTCTTATTTGGCTACACATTCAGCATAGCACAAAAACACTGGGGAGTTACCTTAATGTTTGTGATATATCAAATAAATTACAGATTCAGAATGAAGGAAAACAACTTAAAAGCAAAGCTAAGTAAGTTTATTCCAGGACTAGAAAAATCAAAAGCACAACAACTCATAATATTATTTCTGCACAACATGTAGGTATTTCAAAAAATTTATGGCAAAATAAAATTAAAGGGGGTTTGCTTTGATAACTCACCAAATTTAAAATTCATGCATAATTTTTTCATAATGCTCACTTTTGAACCAACTAGCGGAGTGGTGGTTAAGGTGGATGGATTCAACATGGTCAATGGCATGGTTCGAGTCCTGGACCTGGTCACTTGAAAACGTCAAAAATCCTGAGTGGGGAATGGAGGAGAGAGATTGTTGATGGGCCATTCACTTCCAGGGGATACTTTCTAACTTTCTCTTTCCTTAGTCTCTTTCTATCTCTCTATGTAAGCAAATGTGCCATATAGCAAAATCACAACAAAAACAACAACAAAAATCCCCTCGTATTTCAGGGACTATTTGAAGACCTCTAAGGTTTAACAGAGATTACAAAATTTGTTATAATTTTGCTTTCAAAATTTTGAGAACAGTTTAAAATTTTTAAAATCTGATTTTTATTTAAATAGATTCTGAGTAAGATACTGTTGCAGAATATTTCCCTAGCTCTCTACTTTCAGTTTGCAATACTATCATGTAATGCTTTTCAAACTGAGAGGTAAATGACACTAAATAATAGTTCAGAAATAATCTTTAGTGATCACTAACACTTTCTTAGTGGAACCGACTTTAGGTACTGTAATGAACTAATATGTTTCTCTAAAAAATTCTTATTCAAACTTTCTAATTTCCAGTGTGACTTATTGGAAGATAGGGGCCTTTAATGAGATGATTAAGTGAGGTTGCAAGAGTGGGGCCCTAACCCCATAAATCTTTTGTTCTTACAAGAAGAGTAAGAGACAAGGCTATGTGAGGCCACAGCACAAAGACAGCCATTTATTAGCCTTGCAGAATAGGCCTCTGGTGAACACAAACCCGCTGATTCTTGATCTTGTACTTCCCAACTTTCAGAACTGTGAGAAAATAAATTTCTGTTGTTTAAATCACCCAGTTTTTAGTATTTTGTTATGGCAGACCCAACAAACTAATAAAAATATCTTAAATTCAACTTTAATAAAGCAATTGGAGCTTCTTACATTTAGATTTAAAATAAAGTTGGTGTTTTGGTTAGTATTCTCCAGGGGAAGAGGACTAACAGGATATATGCATAAAAGAGTGTCTTTTTTTTTTTTTGGAGAGATTTTCACTGTAGGGCGCGTGCGCTCGCCAGACAGACAGAGAGAGACATAGAGAGAGAAAGCGAGAAATCACCCCCAGGGGGGATGGTCACGCCGCAATCCCTTCTCCTCCATTCTCCTCTCGGGATCTTGGGCACGCACGCACACACGCCCGGCGTGAGTTTTAAGCCACCGGGTCCGGGACACGAACGGCGGTCGACTACGTGGGAGTCCAGCGACATAGCCATTATGCTAACTGCTGGTTCCCAAGAGTGTCTTTATTGGACTATAGGAATTAGCTCTTACAACCACAGACAGTGTTGTCTCTCTCTCACACACACACCATGTGCAAGTTAGATAAATAGACTGAAGCCTCAGAATCAGAGAAGCCAATGGGGCATGGGACACCCTCTAGTCCAAGATCAAAGACCTGAGTACCGTCAGGAAGCTGCTGATAAAAGTCGAGTCCAAAAAAGAAAAATCTGAGGTGAGATGGATGTAGAGCTAAGGATTTTGGGGACTGGCAGTTGTGAGAAACATGTGTAGTCAAGGGTCAAGCTGAGGAGAGGGATGCAGCAAGTGCATGTGTAAGTATTGAGAGTAGAAAGCCCGACACCATTTGGAAGAAAAGGTAGAGAAGGAAGAAAAGTTCCCAATACCCCTGTTTGCCTTCTGGTGCTCCCCCAATTGGATGATGTCTACACACATGGAGGGCAGATTTTTCTCTCAGTCCACTGATACACACACTAAGGTTGTCTGGAAACACTTTCACAAACACACCCAGAAGTAATGCTTCACCAACCACCAGGCATCTCTCAATCTAATCATCCAAAATTAACCGTCAGCTATAAATTATGAATTTTTAGTCATGAAACTGTATTCCAGGTTGAGTTATACATATCCAAAATTACTGGGACTGAAAGTGTTTTGGGCTTTAGATTTTTTCAGGTTTGGGGGTATTTTCATATGTGTAATGAGATATCTTAGGAAGGGATCCAAATCTAAACACAAAACTCATTTATATTTTATATGCACCTTATATGCATAGCCTAAAGGTAGTTTTATGCAATATTTTTATATTTCAATGTATTGATTGAAACTCATTACATGATGTCCTACAAGGTATGACATTTTCTACTTAGGGCAATATGTTGCTACTCACAAAGTTTTGGATTTTCAATCATTTTGATTTTTAGATTTTTGGGTTAAGGATGCTCAATCTATAGTTTTCTATATCTGTTGGGACAAAGTACCGTAAGTCGAGAAGCTTTTAAAAACACACTTTTATTGTCTTATAGTTCTGGAGGTGAGAAGACAGAAATCAAGATGTTGGCAAGATTGGTTTTGGTTTCTTTTGAGTGCTATGAGAAAACAATCTGTTCAAGGAACTCTCTATAGTTTATTGGAGGCCATTTTCATTTCACATGGCAGTTTTTTCCTATATATATCTATCTCCAAATTTTCTCTCTCTCTCTCCTTTTTTTTTTTTCTTAAATAAGGACATCAGTCATATTGGATTGATATGTGAGACAATCCTTGAAGATATCTTCAACTAACTGGTATTAAGCAAAGTCAGAATGTCAGATGTTCTACCAATTAAGGCTGAGGCAAGTCCAATTGT